CTATTTTGTCGGATTTCACGGATTTTTTAAGGAACATTGGTTATTTTTTCGAGACTTTTTCTACTTTTCCAGGACTAATCGGAATTTTTTGTGTTAGTTTTTTCGGGATTATTTCTGGAAATTCACGCAGTTACTTTTGTACAAGTACAAGTATAATTCACTTTTTTGTTATTTAATTTTAAAATTTATAAAAATATAGCTTACTGCAGAGACAATGATCATTTAAATTTATATTTAATAATTATTTAAAGATTTTCAAATTTACGATCAATACTAATAATAAATTTCTGAGTTTCAGAAAAAAAAGTATGTATATATCGAGTTTTTTTATGAAAAATAAAACAAATTTTTATCTGTGTTATTATTTCGCTCTAAACTAATAATTACTTTGTGAATTGCTATTTTTTGATTACAAATAATCATTATTTTATGAATTTTTTTTTAATCAAAAACAATGATTATTTTTTAAGTGTTATTTCTTTGATCGAAGATAAAACTTATTTATTGAGCGTTTTTTATCTCGCAGAAAGGAAAAATTAATTTTTTATTACAAATACGAAAATTTGTGCAAAAATTAGTACGACTAAGAACACGAAAGCGATTACGAGCAGGAAGATATTACTAAAAATACGAAGACCCACACGAAACGAAGACTAATACGAATACGAAGACAAGTAAGGGATGAAAACAAAGACAAATTTGAATGCGTATTAAATAGAATTTGAATACGAGGATGAATTCGAAGAAAAACGTGAATATGAAGACGAATACGAATACTAATTGGAATAAGAGGAAGAGGACGAATACCTAGACGAACGCGAATATATTGGCGAAGTCGAAATGAATACCAAGAAGAATCCATATGACGACGAATACGAAGTGGATTACGAATACTAATACCGATACTATACGACCACAATTACGAACACCCCGAATAAAACGAACACAAAGGTGAATGCGAGGAAAAATACTTATACGAAGACAGCGACTAAAACGAAAATGAAAAAATCTTCTGGACCCTTAACCCTTATTTGGTGAGATAGGGCATTTTGGAACCGACAGACCAGAGAGGGCGATCTCCCACTAAGCCGAAAATATAGTGTTAAATATCATTCAGAGTCTGTGCTTTGTATTTAAAAGCAAATATAAAACTAATTTTATTATTAGAAGAAATTGTTTGTAAATTAATACTTTGTTAATTGTTTATTCGACGCATATAAATATTATTCATAAGCTATATATTAATCTTTCTCTATTATTTTTCTTTTAATTTCACGCGCCGTCACTCAAATCAAAACATCACCACAAAAACAACGATTTTCCAACGTAAAAAAACTAACAAACAATCAACAACACCGCCATTAACATCGATCACTACGATCTGCTTGAACAACAATCAACAATCGCAACGCCACACAGGAGGATCTCCTCATTCACGGCGATTCTGTTTACGATATCATTGACAAACAGGATCACGCAGCCATACAAGCCGAACTGAATCGCAATGTGCCACCACAGCCGGGACATAGTCAGCATGCCAGTGCCGCGTCAGCAGCAGCCGCAGCAGCGGCGGCGATCTCAAGTCTGGAAGGAGAACATCGCATGTTTTTGTGTCGCATGAATGTCAGTCGAAATGCGCGACGACAAATGCGGTTCGGCGATCAGAAGGTGAGTAGTGGAAAGGGAAGGAAGGCGTGATTCTATATATAGCTACGGGTTTATGTATGGAAGTGTGAAANAGAGGAAAAGAGCGAGCAAATGTGTGTGCGCAGCAACAAAAAAGTGCAAGGATAGCGCTTGATTGCGTGTTACCAACGGCACTCACACTCACATACACACTTACTCACTCACATACATACATAAGTAAAAAGTCGTCAGCGCACGCGCGTTGAAAATGAATTATGCATGAGGCGTGCGTTCTGTTGCAAAAAAAAAGAAAAACAACAAAAATGCAACATGCTACGTTTTGTTTTTGTTCGCCACAACAAACAAAGTGATTTATAAACTGACAAACGATGACAGTAGTCATTGTGGCTGCGAATGCCGCTGTCAGTTTTTTCGCTGTTTCTCACTGCTTGCGCGCCTTTGCTCTGATCGCTCCGATGACTGATGTTTGCTGACATATTTATAAGTGCAGCTATAGTTGTTGTTGTTGTTGTTTCTGGCAGTAGTTTGCCACCTTTTATAGCAAACTATTGGTGGTTGACTGCTGCCACATACACCGTGGCGAATAAAGCAACCTACATACGTGCACCTTCTATGCTTACATTAGGGTGGTTCTTAAAAATAATAAATTCGAAGTGTGTTTTGTTCAACGATAAATAAAGACATCCATGAAAATAGAAATTTAAATAAATGTATAGGGGTTTGAAAAATTTTTAATTTCTTTTAATTGAAAAAATTCGAAAAAATTTTGACTTGAAATCAGAGAAATTTTACATATTAATGAAACTTATTCATATAAATTCATAAAGTCCTAAGTTATATTTTTGCGATTACAAAAAAATATTTTTTCAAAACCTGGTAGCGACCTCTAAACTTATTTTTAAATTCTGAAATGTACATTTTCGTGAATATCTTTGTGGTATACGTAGAACAAAGTTATGTAATGCCCTGAATGCTGATATTTGAGCATAGTAGGGTGGTCCAAAAATGCATCTGAGAAAAATATAGTCGAAATTTTAATGCTATCACTCGTGGAATGATTCTATATCGAAAAAATATACCCTTGTTTTTATTTTAGAATAAAAAAATATTTACAGGTCGCTCAAATCGCTCATAGTAAGCATGCATTTTATACAGGGGAATTTTTTTCCCAAAAAAGTCGGCAAACTCTGTTTCTTTCAGGAGATTTCAAAGAATAATACCCAATTGATTATTTAAAATTTTTTTTATAATTAACAATTTGCTGGTTTTGGTTATAATTAACCCTTTGGGTATTATGCCCTGAAGTCTCCCGAGGAGAAGTAGAGTTATTCGATTCAAAAATATATATTTGCAAGGATTCTATAACATTTCTCAGGAAAAAAAAAATGTTTTCCCCATACAACATGCGTTGAGCATTTTGAGCGAGCTGTAATTTTTTTTTGATTTGAAAACAAAATAGGGCATATTTTTTCGACATAGAACAATTCCAGGGGCTGAGAGCATTAAAATTCCGACTTCACTTCCTTTGGACCACCCTATGTATGCACATATGTATGTTGGTAGAGCTGCACACGCGCTTATTTTGTCATCCTTCAGTAACCAACTCCTCTTTGACAACTCATTGTCTATATGTAGCTCGGTTCACTTTATGAGTGATTGTCAGCCTCTGCGTGATGCCTCGCACTTGTCCACACACAGCTATACGTATGTATCTACACATGTTTAAGTAAACATAAAGACTCCTCTCGCCAATGAAGTTGTGCATATTTGCCACATATGTTCGGGGTAACGACAAAAGCGCCTCACTCCTTTGCTCTCCCCTGCAACATCTGATTTTTTTTGTTTCATTAACTCTACTTCCATTTGGGCGCTTGGGAATTTATGCCGCGCTGTCAACTAACGAGATTGCTACTGTATCAGTTAGTTGTGTGTACTGTTGCTGTTATTGTTGTTGTTGTTGCACATTTTATTGCCGCGCTTTGTTGCTCTGCTTGCTGACAATATGTGGGCGTTTTGCATATTTCTGCATTTTATCTGCTGTTGCTGCTCAATCTAAGCTGTTGAATGCGTCCGAATTATGATATGCTCAACGACGAAAGACTTAAGCAACGAACTTGTGTTGGAGTAATCATTTTGAGCCATTTGATTTATGTGTTTACACACAATATTCATGCATATGCAGTTAGGTATAAAAAATTTGGTGAGATAATTGAATTAATTATAATTGAGAACTGTTATTAATCGTGACAGTTAAGGAAATTGTACTTCAATAATCCTGTGTTAATGCATATCAAGATATATTCGTGACTTAAAAACCCTTTGGCTTCTTTTATTTTGAACAAGAAAGCGTTTTCATTGACAATTTTTGCTTTTTTGCTTGATAAACCAAATTAAAATGATTCGTTATATATCGGGGGAAATTTTCAGAATTTTGTTCGAAATATTTTAGGATTTTTCTTGATTGTAGTTTTTTGGGTCTGATTTATTTATTTTTTTAAATTGTCAGTACTCTGAATCTATTTCGTCCATGCTTAATCAATGGTTATGGTTTTGGTTTTCAAAATAAGTAGTCGTTGTTCTTCGATTTTTATTTTATGGGCCATTTAACACGATATTTCACTTGTTTTTAAGATTTGAAAAATCTCGTTATTTTATGCCTTTTCGATTTTGATGTTGAATATATAAAAGAGATTTTATGCCATTTTTCGACAAAATAATTGTTTTTGCAAAATCTGTTTTTAAGTTTAATTTTATTGATTTTCATAATTTTTTTTCAGTTACATAATATTTAATATCATATATTTTGATTAGATTTTTTGGACATTTATTAATTTTTCGATCAAAAATAAGCAGCTTTCTACTACATAACTTATGCCCTTCGATTTCATGTTATCGCTATTTGATCGTTTCAATTATTCCTATTTTTTTTTTGTTTTCTAGACATTATACAATTTTTGTATTGAGTAATTTGGACAACAATTAAACGTTTTTTTTTTATAATTTAAGGGCAAAACTCACAGTGCTTAGTAAAACCGTTGTTAGTTTAACCCCCAACAAGAGCTTAACTATTAATTGATATTCAGAGTCACATAGACTATGGAAATTCATACTCCCGCAAATATACAAATTATAAAAATCAATATGTTTTCTATACAAATTTTCAATTCTTTCTGCAAAAAAGATTTATTTTCTTGTGAAATAACTATGGGGGCTTGCTGATTTAAGCTTTTGTTAACAGAGGTTGTAAATATAAAAATCGTTAGTTAAACTCTTGCCAGTGGTTAACTACGCACTGTGACTTCGGGCCTAAAAGTTGACAATGAAATTTTATCGATATTTTACGAGTGTATTTTAGCTATATTTCATCATTTTAATTTTTTTTTCTATAAAAATCGTTGTTCCCGGGATTTTATTTCATTGGTTGTGTTTGATCGAAGTTTAAAAATTTTATATATTTTTTTTTAAATATCGTAAATCGAAGACTTTATTTTTACGGTTGAAAATATTTGTCTTTCTACGATTTTTATTTTTTATCAAATTTGAATAATATTCCAAAAAGTTCGATATTCTAGAGATATGTACATTAGACTGCATCACTCCCCATACAAAACAAAAATCGGTACTGTTTTTCCATTGGAATTATAAAATCTATTATATTTTAAGACGTCCACCAAAATATTTCGAAAAAAATATTAAGATTTAAGTGGAGCTTGAAAATACCTCCAAAGATGGAGTTTTTTATGAATACAAATAGTTTCTTAAAGATTTTTTTTTTGAAAAAATACCCTCAAATGACAAAACGGTTTAAGCTTAAAAAATTTGCGTACAAATATTTTTAAAAAATTAAAAAAAAAAA